TGTGACGGGGCTAAGGGCCACATTGGACCGTCTCGGACGAACGGTGAGGGGGGTTTTTAGCGGATGCAGGAAAAATTTTTTTGCAAAAAAGTGAGGGGTAGCGGATTGAACGTTTGTGATGCCGGGGTATGGGGGGGGCCCTGTATATATGCTTGACACGTATGTGTAGTGTGACCTAAGTGTAAGTAAAGTGCAAAACTTACCTGTAATCTTGCATATTTATGAGACAGACCCCAAAAAACCCAATTACGGGTTTCGTTTTAACACTCACCGCAGAACGGTAATACCCCTGGGGGGGGTTTCTGTCTACCAACCTACTACCCACAGTGTTTGTTTTTTATACAAAAAAAAATTTTGCTGTTGTGCTTATAAAAATGTTTATGGGGTGTGCTGTAATATTTTCAGAAGTTCTCCTTCTTAACATACCCTTTTTCCCAATGAGGGGGGGTGGCCCAAAAAAAAAAACAAAGTTTCTCCTTTTAAATTTAGTAATATATACAGGAGAAGGGTTTCACCCCCCGCCCCGGTTTTTGTTCCTCTTAAACAGCATGGCTTACTGGAAGAATTTTGTTTTCCCTTCCCCATGGGGATAAAAGGAAATAAACAAAACAAAAACTAAAAAGAAAATAGAAGAAACCCAGAGGGGGGGGTATAAATGCTTTAATGACGTTATGTGCCTAATGTAATAGAAGTAGCAGGACCTGAAAAACTTGCATGTTTTTTGAACACAAAAGCACGATCAGTAAAACAATTACAGGGTTTCATTGACACTCACTTGGGAGGGCGGGAGTACCTCCCTGACATTGCTGTCTACCAGCCCAACCTACTTTCAGAAATTTGATATTTATTACCATTGGAGTGTGTACCATGATTTTTTTTTTCCTCTCTTTCAACAATTCGGCCTCCCCCCAGCAGGGTACCCAAAAAGAAAGAAAATTCCCAAAAGAAAATACTTTCCACCAACACTTTCACCTCATTCCCCAAAAATCACTGTTTTTTAGATGCCCAGAATCAACGCTTTGAAACATTACGTATAAAAATACACAAATATCCCTCCAAACGCCCCGTATCCCGAACCCCTCTTTTTTAGTGCAGCATGTGTTTCCCATTTCCAGGGCTCAAGTCCGGTACATAAAAATAACCGGTTTTTCTCCAAATCCCTTTACTAAATATTGCCCTGCCACACTCCAACAGCTCGTCAGGTCCCAAAAACCATTTTCTCCCTTCACTCCAAACAAAACGCTCAGCACGCATGCTAGAAGTCCAAACCCCCCGCCAAAAACCTCCTTTACGCCTTCCCCTTTCCCAAACCTTTCGAGGACAACCCCTCCCGCCTTCCTTCCCCCAATTTAATTTTTCCCCCATTCATTCTACCTTGATCCATTTTCTCTAAAAGACCAAAAACCCCAAACCCCAACAACCCCCTCAGCCCTCTGACAATACTTTTATTTACTCCACACCTTTTCCTAATTTCCACACTCCGAATTTTTTTGATAAATTACACCACAATTTCCCCAGACAGGACATCTCCACTGCCCCAACCACCCCCTTTTGCAGCATTTACAAACCCAAGCCTCACACCCATTAAATTTGGAACTATATTTTCATTCATTCCCTTTTTGCCTCCATAATAACGTTTTTGCGCACATATCCTCAACGCACCCCCGCCTTTTTTCCCTCATCAATTCATAATTTAATTTTTTTTTTTTTTTTTTTTTTTTTTTTTTAACAAGTCGGCCCTCTCCCACCGAGGCAGGGTACCCAAAAAAGAAAAAAAACCCCAAAAAAAAAATACTTTCATCATCATTTTAACACTTTACCACACTCCACATTTTACTGTTTTTTTCAGGGTGCTCAGAAAACAACGTCTGAAGCTACACATATAAGATACACAACAAATCCTCCAAATGCCAAATCCCAACCCCTCTTTAAGTCAGGGGATTGACTTCCATTTCCAGGTCAAGTCCGACATATGAAAATAACCGGTTTCCCTGAAACCCCTTTCCCAAAATACCCTGTCACACTCCAACAGATCGTCAGGCCCAAGTACCTTCGTTCCTTCCTCCTATCTAAAACCCCTCACCCAGCTTGCTGGAAGTCCAAGGCCCCTTACCCACAAAACCCCCCTTTAAACCCCCTCTCCCCACCCTTTCGAGGACGACCCCTACCCCCCCCTTCCTTCCCTATAGTTTTTTAAATGTTTCCCTTTGGTCACTACTTTAATCCTTTCCTCTAAATCCCCAAACCACCTCAAAAACCCCTCTTCTGCCCTCGGGATAATACTTTTTTTAAAAACTCCCACCTTTTCCTAATTTCCACACTCCGAATTTCTGCATAATTTTACACCAACATTCCCCAAAAACAGGACTTTCCCCCACTGCCCCCAAACCCTTTCCTCGCTGCTGCTTTTTTCCCCCCAAGCTTCACACCCCTTTTAAAAGTTTTGGTACTACTTTTACTTTCTTTCACCCCTTCTTTGCCTCCAGAAAAAACTTTTTTGCCCTCCACATATACCTAAACGCCCAACCCCCTTTTTTTCCCCCCTAAATTCTTTGTTTAACCTCATCCTTCAAAAATCCACCCCGCCGACACGTCAACCCCAAGTATCTAAAAACATTCATTTTCTTCCATACTCCTCCCCCCAAATTTTGGGAACCCAATTTTTTTTATCAAAATCATTTGAAAACCCCACCCACCTTACTCTTTTCTATTTTTCACTTTCAATTTTCTACCTTTACCCCACTTTCCCAAATAAATCCCAAACCCTTTTGGAAATTTTTTTTTTTAGAATCTCCCATAACACGGGTTTTTCTCAGAAAAAAAGAAAAAAACTGGGTTTTTTCCCCTTTTTTTAAATTTTGTTTTCCCCTTTAATTTAATCCCACCCCTCCCCAAACACCCACATTTATTTCCTTTAAAAACCCCATCATAAATTTTTTTAAACAAAAAGGGTGCCCATTACACATCCATGTCAAAGCCCTTATTTTAAACCGGGAAGTAGTCCCCTCTTTTCAAAACACCCAAACCTGACCCCTCACTATCCCAAAAAAAACCCTTTACAGCTTTTAAATAATTCCACTTTTTCCATATTTTTTGCAACATCTAAACATTGCTCCCCCTATCCCTCTAATATCCCTTTTTTCAAAACCCAATAAATCCCAATAAAAACTTCCCTATCTTTATCTAAAAAAGGGTTCACATAATCCTTCAATGTAAACACCTGATTACAAACCCCACCCACTCTAAAACCCCCTTTTGCTCATCCGCAATCCTACTTTCCTTTTCTTCCCTTTTAATTCTTTCAATTATAACCCAAAAACCGTACATTTTTCCCTGGTAAAACTCATTAAAAGCTTATTCCTCTAAAATTTTTACGTCTCTTTTGCCCCTTTTTTCCCCTTTATATGGGGGGACTATACAGGCTCTCTGCCAACCCCTAGGTCCCTTTCCCCTCTTTCAAAACATTTTTTTAAAAACAAAATACCAACCACTTCCAACACTATATCCCCCCTGCTTTAACTTTTCTGTCTGACCCCATCGTTCCAGCTGTTTTAAAAACCCCCTTTTTTTTTCAAATTCCCCAAAGGCCTCCCCCACACTACTTTTCTGCTCTTTCTTCCTCCAAAAAGAGGGTTTATACCTCCCTACCAGTCATAAAATTTTAAACTCCCTTTTGTTTTTCCCTTCTAACTTTAAAAATTTCCTCAAATTTTCCCTCGCCCATCTACCCCAATACCCCCCATCTCCCCATCTACTAACCCCCCTCCGGGGTTTTTTTAACGGGACAAATCCATTTTTTTCCCAAAGGCTTTTTAAAATTGTTTAACTCACTCCAAAAATTTTTTCTTATTTTCATTAAAATTTTTTGCAGTCCCTCCCCCCTCTATCATCTGCTCTCCTTTTGCACTCTCTCACCACTTTTCTTTACCTTTTTTTTACTGTCCATAAACCTGCTTTTCTTATAAACTTCTGCTTTGTAAAAACCTCTTATCCTTTAAAACCATCCGCTGACATTCAAATCCCCCAAAAACTTGGGCCCCATTTTTCGTATTTTTTCCATTCCTTTTAGTTTTCTACTGTTACAAATCTACGATTTTCGAATAAAAATTTTTTCCCTAAGAAATAATGTAAATACAAATTTAAACCTTTCCCGACACCCAAATATTAAAACAAAAAATTTTTTTCAATTTAAATTTTTGATTATACCCTGAACAGTACAATGGAAATATGAATGAAAAAATTAACAGCATAACACTTTCCTTTTTTGGAATTCTTCTTAGTGTATGGGGGACTGGGGAAGGAGAGAGATTGGGGTTTTTTTCAAATTTGGAAGGGAAATTTCCCCCTTTCCCCAACACCCCAGGGGACCAAATTTTTTTGTTTGGGGGTTGGGTTCTCTTTTTTCTGTTTCTTAATGCCCTAGGGCCAGCTTTTTATTCCCCAGAATACGAAAAAAATGGGACCCTGTAAAGAAAACATTCACTTCTTCCCTACTCCTCCTCCCCAATTTGGGGTTCAATTTAGTTTAAAATTTTTTATAATTTATGAAATTTTTAAAATAAAAAAAAGGAAAATGAGGGGCCCCCAGGGTTTTTCTGGAAAAATTTTATTGTACAGTGGACCCCCCGGGAAAAAATATTTTTTTTTACTCCAAAAATTTGTTTTTAGGGGGCCCGTAAATGACCGAATTTTTTTCCCCTAAGGGAAATTGGAAGTAGATTTTGTCCATTTCAGACCCCCCCAAAATACACCCTACAAAAACCAAATTACATAAAAAAACACTTTCATAATTGGTTTGGGATTCGGAGGGGGGATCCCTTATGCGGGGGGCCCTGTATTGTCTATGTTCTTTCATGTTCGGTATACGGTTTTTGATTTGCTGTAAGATGTCTTTTTAGGAAATTTTATTCTTTTTTGCAATTTTTTCTTTTCATCATCAGATTGCAAGGGAGAGTCCCAAACTGGTAATGAAGATGGAGCCTTGAGGACTGTCTTATTTGCAAAAAAAGGGGGAAACGATGAAACTTTTCCCCAAAGTGTCGAGCTGTCATCGAACATTTCCAGGTAAGGCATTCCCTGGCAGGTACAATAACATTATCCTAATGTATTTGACTTTGACCTCTAAATATATTTTCTGTTTGATTTGTGTTACATAATTTAATTACTACAATACTCCAACTAAATAACAATTATGAGCAGAAAGTTGGTTGCTGAGTTTAACCTTTCATTGGCCACGTAGACCTACATTACTTATGCCAGGGTCCCTTACATAGGTCTATGCATAAATTCTGATAGCTTCAAATTTGGTAGGAGAGGCATGGGAGGCCTACATTTAAGAAAAATGGTTTATGTGGTCAGTGTGTGCAGTATACAAAAAAAAAATCAGGGCTCCACAGTATTGTGAGAATGCCATATTTAATACACCTTGTACACTGTACATTGTAGATGCAAAGGCCTCACTCTCAGGCAAATTGAAAGAGTTTTATTCCCCATTGGCAGCTTCAGCAGTGATAATTATAAAACCGACGATGAGTTCTTTGGTTTCAAACATAATGACTGAAAATGATACTCAGGGTGAAGGAAATATTGTTGCGAGATGATCGCTGTATACTGTCTTGTTTGAAGTTTGGTTATCACTTCTTAACAACACTTCCTGCTACAGAGAAGAAGAAATGGGCTCAGAAGAGATATTATGTCTCTAAACACACAAAATGCCTAGCAAAGTGCAGACCCACGGTTTATGTGTAGAGATGTGTATGGAGCAGTGTTGCAAGGACTTTCGCAGACTGCAGCAGTTCTAGGAACATGACTGATGCCTCTAAATTTGTACATAAATGTTAAAATAGTAGTAATATGAAACATTTGTACCTTTGTGTATTTAGTGTTGTGTAAACATGTTCTGTGAATAATGTATTGCTGATATCATTAGTGCAGGTATTGTGTGGCAAAGAATGTGTGGATATATGTACATTGTGCTTCATATGTCTCATGGGTCACGAAAGTTAGTGGAATATGTTAAATAAAGGAAAAAAACCCAAAAATAAAAATGTGGAGTACATGTGAAGAGATACGTGAAACACCGCTGTGTATTGAGTACTGTTTCATGGACTTCCACAGACTGTTACAGTCTGTGGAAGTAACATATAACATGACCAGTGCCTGTACATATTTGCATAAATGTCAGAACAGTAGTAATGTGAAACATTTGTGTCTGTGTCTGCTTATGTTGTGTAAAACGTTTTGTATATAATGTACTTGTGATGTTATTAGTGCGAGTATTGTGTTGCACACAACAGGTGGACTTACGTATGTTGTGCATGATATAGGTCTTGCAGACCACAATAATTACTGGAAAATGTAAAAAATTAGAAAATTTCTGTCTCTCCTCTTCCCTCCAGCACCCACCCTCCTGTATCCACAAACTTCTGCTGCATACTCTAACACAGCATTCTTAAATCTACCCCATGCCTTTTCAACCTCTTCATTGTCTATACTCTCACTAGCCCATCTTTCTCCCAGTAGTTGCTTTTATCTTACCCTAATTACCTTCTTTAGTATATAAACTTTTACCTCTCTCACTCTGCTCTTATACCAAGCTATAAATGCAACAACGATGAAGAAATACTAAAAGTTTATATTCAAGAGTGATATTATGATCATCGGGATCATAAACTCTATAAAAAAGATGTGGTTTCAACTGAGGCTTGAATGCATGAACAAATTTCTGACTTGATAACAAACACTGGCAACTTGTTGAATGATCTAGCAGCTACAAGGCTCAGTTTAAAATCTCTCTATATTAATTGTAGAAGCTTTGAAGGTTTCTTCTTGCCGAAAATATATTTTCATTGGTGGCTTCTCTAGTCATTCAAATTTGAATTTTGAAAAAAACATGATTAAGCATCAAAAAATTATGTGCAGTAGGAACATATTTAAGTAATTTTTTTTATTTTTTCAGTTAATAACCTTGAAAGACTACTCATTCTCACCACGGTTCAAGGAAGCATGTCAAGGAGATGTTGCCCAGCTGTGCAGTCGACAAAAGCCTAAGAACAAGTGAGTTTGTCTGCCTTATCAGTTTTTTCATTTATCTTTCATGTTATTAAATTATGGGCATGCAGTATGGCCATTCAAAATTTATTGGTACATACACAGTATATTCGTGGGCCAGAAAGGTTTAGGGAACAAGTTTTACAAATACACTGATTGCCTGAATCAAATTATTTTGGACAGTGTCTTGTCTGTATACAGGGTTGTCTCTGAGGTGCATTACCTGTGTCAAGTTTTGAGGGTTTGTCTACCCTCAAGGCTCAGTCTGAGGTCATGTTTCCTTGTTGATCACCTGGTCAGTCAGGTTGTTGTTACTAGTGCCCTGCTGACCTATATTGCTGTCACAGTTTTGCTGATTTGATATTTGGAGAAGGAAATGGTTCAGTATCATCTTGAAAACTTATATTTTTGTTCTAGCCGTATTTCTGATGTCAACTGGTAGTAATTTTTTTTTTAAGGATTGGGGGGTGAAGGGTTACCCCATTAGAACATATCACTGTATTATTATACTGTACATTTTTTTTTAACACGCTGGCCATCTCCCACCTAGGCAGGGAGACACAGAAAAGGAATGCTTTTGCCAATAATAAATGTTAAATTTTTAAAAAAGTCAGGTGCCTTGATTCTCTCAGTGAAGTGTTAGAGTAACCCTAGATGACTAAGTACGTAAAGAGAGATCTTTATTAGTGAGAAACTGCATAAACTATAGCTATATTTATAATTAAACTTTGAAAAAAAAAAAACTAAAAATTTTTTTTTTTTCAACAAGTCGGCAGTCTCCCACCGAGGCAGGGTGACTAAAATCTAGATGCAAAATAAAATACAGCCTCTCCTCACTTAGCATGTGCTCGTTTACCAATGACTCTGACTTACGACGGGCTCTGTGACAAGTATGCATACCTAAATAATGTATATTAGACCTGATTTTCTCTATTCGTTTTAACCCTTTGAGGGTCCAAGCCGTAGTTCTATGCCTTGTCCACAGGGTCCAAGAATTTTCATTTTTTTTTTTTTTTGTTATTTTTCTTGTGAAATGGTAGAGAGACTTTTTCTGAAGGTAAGAAAACAAAAAGTATGAAATTTGATGGAAAATTGACAAAATTACACATGAATTTTACTGCATTGGCAATATTTACACATTGGTGATTTTTGTCTCCTTTGACTCCTATTTTAAGCCAATTACATTATTCCAGTCGACCAAGTTCTTATCTATTTTATCGATTGAGCACAAGAAACTGCCCAATTACCTATTTCAGCTACCCAATAAAGTAATCAGAATTTAGTAGTCTGACCAATTTCACACAGTTCTAAATATTCCAGTTTTAAAATAGGGTCTAGAATAAACAATGCAGGCATTCCAGACACTAAAAGACATTTCCTCTGTTCATTGGTTATGTTCTCAGACTTTACACATGAATTCTATTTTGATTTTTTTATTCACAAAAAAGAATTTTTATTCACACAAAAAAGATTTACTGGGATTCAATATTGTAATATTTGTTTAAATAATATCAGCACATTTGTGAATGCATATTAGACCCACCAGTTGGACATGTATTGTGTATGATCGACGTGATTTGTTAACTCTTGAATACAGTGGACCCCCGGATTACAACGTCATCGGATTAAGTAATATTCAGATTAAGTAACATTTTTGCGTCAAAATATTGGCTCGGTTAGCGACACAGAACTCTGTTAGTCATTTGTCCTGAACGTGTTCGTGCAGCGTGAGCGGCCCGGCCACTCCATGTACAGTCAGTGTGCCATTGTTTACAAGCCAGTGAGGACAATTCCATGCATACATGCGATACATTTTATATTATTCCATTGTTTTTAGTGCTTGTAACTGCTAAATAATCCACCATGGGCCCAAAGAAAGCTTCTAGTGCCAGCTCTTTGGTAAAGAGGGTGAGAAACACTATAGAATTCAAGAAAGAGATCACAAAATACGAAAGTGGAGTGCGTGTCTCCGAGCTTGCCAGGTTGTATAACAAACCCCATACAACCATCGCTACTATCTTGGCCAAGAAAAAGGCAATCAAGGAAGCTGTTGTTGCGAAAGGTGCAAATATGCTTACAAAACAGAGACTGCAAATACTCAAAGATGTGGAGAGATTGTTGGTGTGAATCCAATGAGAAACAATTATCGGGAGATATTGTTTCTCAGTCAATAATATGTGAAAAGGCAAGGCAGTTGCATGATGATCTCATTAAGAAAATCCTGGAACTAGTGCTGATATTGGTGAATTTAAGGCCAGCAAAGGTTGGTTTGAGAGATTTAAGAATCGTAGTGGCATACACAGTGTGATACGGCATGGTGAGGCTACCGGTTCTGACAAAAAAGCGGCTGAAAAATATGTTCAGGACTTCAAGGGGTACATAGAGGCTGAAAAATAAAAACCCAACAAGTGTTCAATTGTAACGAAACAGGCCTCTTTTGGAAGAAAATGCCAAAGAGGACCTACATCACGCAGGAGGAAAAGGCACTTCCAGGACACAAGCCTGTGAAGGATAGGCTTACTCTTGTTATGTGGTAATGCTAGTGGGGATTTCAAAGTGAAGCCTTTACTGGTGTATCACTCTGAAAATCCCAGTGTTCAAGAAAAACAATGACATCAAGAGTAAATTATGTGCGATGTGGAAAGCTAATAATAAGGCATAGGTCATGAGGCAAATTTTCCACGACTGGGTCCATGAAGTGTTTGGCCCGAGTGTGAAAAAATGCCTCCTGGAAAATAGCTTGCCACTCATGTGCCTCCTGGTACTGGACAATGCTCCTGCTCATCCTCTAGACTTGGAAGCCTAATTGTTTAGGGACTTCAGTTTTATAACAGTGAAGTTCTTGCCTCTTAACACCACTCTTCTCATCCAGCCCATGGACCAGCAGATCATTTCTAACTTCAAAAATCTCTACACGAAAGCACTGTTTCAAAGGTGCTTTTAAGTGACCTCGGACGCTGAATTGACCCTAAGAAAGTTCTGGAGGGATCACTTCAGTATCCGTCATTGTATAAACCTTATAGGTAAGGCTTGGCAGGAGGTGACTTCCAGGACTTTGAACTCTGTGCTTGGAGAAAATTGTGACCAGAATGTGTCCAAGAGAAGGATTTTGAAGGGTTTGAGGCTGACCCTGTCGACCCTACGCCTGTTGTGGAATGTATTGTCTTTGGGAAGTCCATGCGGTTGGATGTGAGTGGCCAGGATGTGGAAGAGTTGGTGGAGGACTACAGGGAAGAGCTAACCACTGAAGAGCTGCAAGACCTTCACCTGGAACAGCAACAGACCACAGCTGAGGAAATTGCTTCAGAGGAGGAGGAAGAGAGAGGGAAGAAGGTGCCTTTTTCAGTGATTAAGAACATGTGTGCAAAGTGGAGCGAGTTACAAACTTTTGTTAAAAAATATCACCCTGACAAAGCTGATACAAGCCATATCTGCAGCATATTCAGTTAAAATACCATCCCATTTTAGTCAAATCTTAACCTTTAAATGGTCCAAACGTATATATACGCTTTTTCAACATTTGAAAGTATGCAAAAAAATGTACATCTTTTTTTTTAACATTTGAAAATGTGTAAAAAACTTTTATCTACATTTTTTTTTGTTATATTTGAAAGTATGTAAAAAAACATAGATCTACTTTTGGAGCACTACTGATTTGAACGTCGATCTATTTGGACCGTTTAAGGGTTAGAGACGCCAGAAACAAAGCTCTCCGGACAGATTTTTAGTGAGACAGGGGTCCAGTGCCAATAAAAAATAAAGAAGGGAAGTAACCCCAGAGAGGGCTTTGATACCTGAAGTCCTTATGGAGCGGGATTCCCCTTCCAAACAATAACCCCAACTACCTCTCCCCTCGCCGCCTTCTTCAATAGGCCAACAAGAGTCTTCAATAAAGGTATGTAATGCTCATTTATCAATTTCATTAGTGCTTTTTATTTATTTCTCATTGTTTTCTGTATGTAAAACTAGTTATTCTTTAAAATATGTATTTTTTGTTAATATTTTTGGGTGTCTGGAACGGATTAATTGTACGTATTTATGGTAGTAGGTTGGTAGACTGCAACCACCCAGGGAGGTACTACCGTCCTGCCAAGTGAGTGTAAAACGAAAGCCTGTAATTGTTTTATATGATGGTAGGATTGCTGGTGTCTTTTGTCTGTCTCATAAATATGCAAGATTACAGGCATGTCTTGCTACTTCTACTTACACTTAGGTCACACTACACATACATGTACATGTTTATTTATACACACTCATCTGAGTTTTCTTTGATTTTATCTTAATAGTTCTTGGTCTTATTACTTTTCCTTTTATATCCATGGGGAAGTGGAATAAGAATCTTTCCTCCGTAAGCCATGCGTGTTGTAAAAGTCAACCAAAATGCCGGGAACAATGGACTAGTAACCCCTTTTCCTGTAAAGATTACTAAAAAGAATAAGAAGAATAAGAAAATTGTCAAAGTGGGAAGTCTGAATGTGCGTGGATGTTGTGCAGATGATAAGAAAGAGATGATTGTGGATGTTATGAATGAGAAGAAGCTGGATGTCCTGGCTTTAAGTGAAACAAAGCTGAAGGGGGTGGGAGAGTTTCAGTGGAGAGGAATAAATGGGATTAGGTCAGGGGTTTCAAATAGAGTTAGAGCTAAAGAAGGAGTAGCAATAATGTTGAAGGATAAGCTATGGCAGGAAAAGAGGGACTATAAATGTATTAATTCAAGGATTATGTGGAGTAAAATAAAGATTGGATGTGAAACGTGGGTTATAATAAGCGTGTATGCACCTGGAGAAGAGAAAAGTGCAGAGGAGAGAGAGAGATTTTGGGAAATGTTGAGTGAATGCGTGGGGAGTTTTGAATCAAGTGTGAGAGGAATGGTGGTTGGGGATTTCAATGCTAAAGTGGGTAAAAATGTTATGGAGGGAGTAGTAGGTAAATTTGGGGTGCCAGGGTAAATGTAAATGGGAGCCTTTAATTGAGCTATGTGTAGAAAGAGATTTGGTAATAAGTAATACATATTTTATGAAAAAGAGGATAAATAAATATACAAGGTATGATGTAGCATGTAATGAAAGTAGTTTATTAGATTATGTATTGGTGGATAAAAGGTTGATGGGTAGGCTCCAGGATGTACATGTTTATAGAGGGGCAACTGATATATCGGATCATTATTTAGTTGTAGCTACAGTTAGAGTAAGAGGTAGATGGGAAAAGAGGAAGGTGGGAACAACAAGTAAGAGGGAGGTGAAAGTGTATAAAGTAAGGGAGGAGGAAGTTCGGGTGAGATATAAGCGACTATTGGCAGAAAGGTGGGCTAGTGCAAAGATGAGTAGTGGGGGGGTTGAAGAGGGTTGGAATATTTTTTAAAAATGCAGTATTAGAATGTGGGGCAGAAGTTTGTGGTTATAGGAGGGTGGGGGCAGGAGGAAAGAGGAGTAATTGGGGGAATGAAGTAAAGGGTGTGATAAAAGAGAAAAAGGTAGCTTATGAGAGGTTTTTTACAAAGCAGAAGTGTTATAAGAAGAGCAGAGTATATGGACAGTAAAAGAAAGGTAAAGAGAGTGGTGAGAGAGTGCAAAAGGAGAGCAGATGATAGAGTGGGAGAGCACTGTCAAGAAATTTTAATGAAAATAAGAAAAATTTTGAGTGAGTTAAACAAGTTTTAAGAAAGCCTAGGGAAAGTATGGATTTGTCAGTTAAAAACAGAGTAGGGGAGTTAGTAGATGGGGAGATGGAGGTATTAGGTAGATGGCGAGAATATTTTGAGGAACTTTTAAATGTTAAGGAAGAAACAGAGGCAGTAATTTCATGCACTGGTCAGGGAGGTATACCATCTTTTAGGAGTGAAGAAGAGCAGAATGTAAGTGTGGGGGAGGTACGTGAGGCATTACGTAAAATGAAAGGGGGTAAAGCAGCTGGAACTGATGGGATCATGACAGAAATGTTAAAAGCAGGGGGGGATATAGTGTTGGAGTGGTTGGTACTTCTGTTTAATAAATGTATGAAAGAGGGGAAGGTACCTTGGGATTGGCGGAGAGCATGTATAGTCCCTTTATATAAAGGGAAAGGGGACAAAAGAGACTGTAAAAATTATAGAGGAATAAGTTTACGGAATATACCAGGAAAAGTGTACGGTAGGGTTATAATTGAAAGAATTAGAGGTAAGACAGAATGTAGGAATGCGGATGAGCAAGGAGGTTTCAGAGTGGGTAGGGGATGTGTAGAACAAGTGTTTACATTAAAGCATATATGTGAACAGTATTTAGATAAAGGTAGGGAAGTTTTTATTGCATTTATGGATTTAGAAAAGGCACATGATAGAGTGGATAGAGGGGCAATGTGGCAGATGTTGCAAGTATATGGAATAGGTGGTAAATTATTAAATGCTGTGAAGAGTTTTTATGAGGATAGTGAGGCTCAGGTTAGGGTGTGTAGAAGAGAGGGAGACTACTTCCCAGTAAAAGTAGGTCTTAGACACGGATGTGTAATGTCACCATGGTTGTTTAATATATTTATAGATAGGGTTGTAAAGGAAGTAAATGCTAGGGTGTTCGGGAGAGGGTGGGATTAATTTTGGGGAATCAAATTCAAATGGAATTGACAGTTACTTTTTGCTGATGATACTGTGCTTATGGGAGATTCTAAAGAAAATTGCAAAGGTTAGTGGATGAGTTTGGAATGTGTGTAAAGGTAGAAAGTTAAAAGTGAACATAGAAAAGAGTAAGGTGATGAGGGTGTCAAATGATTTAGATAAAGAAAAATTGGATATCAAATTGGGGAGGAGGAGCATGGAAGAAGTGAATGTTTTCAGATACTTGGGAGTTGACGTGTCGGCGGATGGATTTATGAAGGATGAGGTTAATCATAGAATTGATGAGGGAAAAAAGGTGAGTGGTGCGTTGAGGTATATGTGGAGTCAAAAAACGTTATCTATGGAGACAAAGAAGGGAATGTATGAAAGTATAGTAGTACCAACTCTCTTATATGGGTGTGAAGTTTGGGTGGTAAATGCAGCAGCGAGGAGACGGTTGGAGGCAGTGGAGATGTCCTGTTTAAGGGCAATGTGTGGTGTAAATATTATGTAGAAAATTCAGAGTGTGGAAATTAGGAAAAGGTGTGGAGTTAATAAAAGTATTAGTCAGAGGGCAGAAGAGGGGTTGTTGAGGTGGTTTGGTCATTTAGAGAGAATGGATCAAAGTAGAATGACATGGAAAGCATATAAATCTATAGGGGAAGGAAAGAGGGGTAGGGGTCGTCTTCGAAAGGGTTGGAAAGAGGGGGTAAAGGAGGTTTTGTGGGCGAGGGGCTTGGACTTCCAGCAAGCGTGCATGAGCATGTTAGATAGGAGTGAATGGAGATGAATGATACTTGGGACCTGACGATCTGTTGGAGTGTGAGCAGGGTAATGTTTAGTGAAGTGATTCAGGGAAACCGGTTATTTTCATATAGTCGGACTTGAGTCCTGGAAATGGGAAGTACAATGCCTGCACTTTAAAGGAGGGGTTTGGGATATTGGCAGTTTGGAGGGATATGTTGTGTATCTTTAAATGTATATGCTTCAAAGCTGTTGTATTCTGAGCACCTCTGCAAAAGCAGTGATATTGTGTGAGCATGGTGAAAGTGTTGAATGATGATGAAAGTATTTTCTTTTTGGGGATTTTCTTTCTTTTTTGGGTCACCCTGCCTCGGTGGGAGACGGCCGACTTGTTGAAAAAAAAAAAATATATTTCTTATGAGAAACATTAATTCAGTTTTTGTACATTTTGGTTTTAGACTGAACTAATGGAATGGATTAAGTACAAAAACCAGAGGTTCACTGTATAGTGTTTTTTTTTTTTTTTTTTTTCCAATTTTACTCTTTGCAGAGCTGATGTGATAGACTGCCTGAGCACAGTAGTTCGAAATGACATTTTAAATGATAACACACACCAAGTATCAAAGTCTTGTCGACAACAGCTCCGCCAGCAGTTGATGCAGCGTCATGAGAACATAATGCTGGATCCCAGATTGCGACAGGATTGTTCTAAAGATGTCAAAAAATTCTGCGACGATGTCAAACGTGGCCGAGGAGCAGTGAGTCCTTTATATATTACCAGTACTTTTAATACCCATTTCATAATGGTTATCAGTTGTTTTTATAAGTTTTAGGTTTTACAGTTTGTTACAATGAAATAAATATAGGGCGAGGAATAATTTGTAGGTTTTAGACCATAACAGTCTTGATGGAAAGAAAGAAATTTAGTCAAAAATCTGAGGGAAGGATTGCCTTCATAACCTCTGTGAATACTGAACTGCAACTGGATATTTTATTAAGAGGGTTAAATAATTCTTGTGCCACTTAGTTACTGTAAACTGAATTTCAGATCATGGAGTGTTTACGTGTTCACAAGAGGGAGCTAACAGAGACTTGCCATGCACAGCTATTTGCTCGTGAGCAAGAGGAGCAGATGGACCCTGGCACAGATGTAGTGTTGATGTCATCATGCAAGCAGATGATCATTCAGTACTGTCATGATACAAACTCTGAGATGCTCCTCAGCTGCCTGAAGGTTTTGTTGTATCTGCTAAATTATACACAGCTAATAGTTGTGCATAATGTTATGTTGCAGGAGTGTAACTGGATTAATATTGCATTTGTTTTTAACACATTGGCTCTCTCCCACCAAGGAAGGGTGACCTGAAAAAGAAACACTTTCACTATCACTTGCTCCATAACCATTTTGTCGAAGGCATGCCGACTCTACAGTTCAGATGCCCCTCTGAATTGCAGTATCAACACCTCTTCTCCAGGACTCAGGCATTGTACTTCTCACCCCCAGAACTCAAGTTTGGCTAACTGGTTTTCATGAATCCCTTCATAAATGTTACCTTGCTCACACTCCAACAGCATGTCAAGTCATAAAAGCACGTGCTCACACATGCCTGTTGGATGTCTAAGCCCCTCACATACAAAACCACATTTACCCCTTTCCTCCATCCTTTTCTAGAATGATCCCTACCCCTCTTCCCTTCATTACAGATTTATGCACCCTCCAAGTAATCCTATTTTTCTCCATCCTTGCTAAATGTCCAAACCACCTCAATAACCCCTTTTAGTCTTCTGGATAATACTCTCTGTAACCCTGCACCTCCTTATCTCCAAACTACGAATTCTCTGCATAATATTCACACCACACATTCCCATCAGACTTGACATCACTGCTTCTAGCCTCCTCACTGCAACATTCACAACAGATGATTCCCACTCATATAAGAGCGTTGGTACCACTATACTCTCATACATTCCTCTTTGGCTCCATGGATAATGTTCTTTGTCTCCACAGATATAACAATCCACATTTTTTAACAGTATTGTACCAAATAAAGAGGAACCCATTATGTATACACTAAGTGGCTTATAGCATACCAAATTTCAGTGCATATTGTTTATTATATTAAAAAAATTGACTTGCATCAGCTTGTCATAATGGTGCTGGCATCAACTTAAAAACTGATATAAACTACCTTCAACACACTTTAATTTTCATCCTAGACATATTGCTTATTATAAACTTATGAAATTGACCTACAAATCATCGAAAATTTGTGTACAAATACAGTATTTATTTTTGATAAGTGGTAGTAGGTTGGTAGACAGCAACCACCCAGGGGGGTACTACCGTCCTGCCAAGTGAGTGTGAAACGCAAGCCTGTAATTGTTTTACATGATGGTAGGATTGCTGGTGTCTTTCGTCTGTCTCATAAATATGCAAGATTACAGGTATGTCTTGCTACTTCTACTTGCACTTAGGTCACACTACACATACATGTACATGTTTATTTATACACACTCATCTGAGTTTTCTTTGATTTTATCTTAATAGTTCTTGGTCTTATTACTTTTCCTTTTATATCCATGGGGAAGTGGAGTAAGAATCTTTCCTCCGTAAGCCATGCGTGTTGTAAAAGTCAACTAAAATGCCGGGAACAATGGGCTAGTAACCCCTTTTCCTGTAATAATTACTAAAAAGAACAAGAAGAAGAAAATTATCAAAGTGGCAAGTCTGAATGTGTGTGGATGTTGTGCAAATGATAAGAAAAAGATGATTGTGGATGTTATGAATGAGAAGAAGCTGGATGTCCTGGCTTTAAGTGAAACAAAGCTGAATGGGGTGGGAGAGTTTCAGTGGAGAAGAATAAATGGGATTAGGTCAGGGGTTTCAAATAGAGTTAGAGCTAAAGAACGACTAGCAATAATGTTGAAGGATAAGTTATGGCAGGAAAAGAGGGACTATAAATGTATTAATTCAAGGATTACATGGAGTAAAATAAAGGTTGGATGTGAAAAGTGGGTTATAGTAAGTGTATATGCACCTGGAGAAGAGAGAAGTGTAGAGGAGAGAGAGATTTTGGGAAATGTTGAGTGAATGCGTGGGGAGTTTTGAACCAAGTGTGAGAGTAATGGTGGTTGGGGATTTCAATGCTAAAGTGGGCAAAAATGTTGTGGAGGGAGTAGTAGGTAAATTTGGGGTGCCAGGGGTAAATGAAAATGGGGAGCCTTTAATTGAGCTATGTGTAGAAAGAGGTTTGGTAATAAGTAATACATATTTTATGAAGAAGAGGGTAAATAAATATACAAGGTATGATATAGCACATAATGCAAGTAGTTTGTTAGATTATGTATTGGTGGATAAAAGGTTGATGGGTAGGCTCCAGGATGTACATGTTTATAGGGGGGCAACTTTTTATGCCTGCCCTTAATGCTATGCATGCAAGTGGCTTTGGCATGCTGCATCTTGCTGTATTCTTTTGTACTTCACTGAATCATGTTCAATTTAATAAATAAATAAATAAATAAATTATTTAGTTGTAGCTACAGTTAGAGTAAGAGGTAGATGGGAAAAGAGGAAAATGGCAACAACAAGCAAAAGGGAGGTGAAAGTGTATGAACTAAGGGAGGAGGAAGTTCGGGTGAGATATAAGCAACTACAGTGGACCCCCGGTTAACGATTTTAATCCGTGCAAGAGGGATAATTGTTATGCGAAATAATCGTTATGTGAATGAATTTTCCCCATAAGAAATAATGGAAATAAAATTAATCCGTGCAAGACGCCCAAAAGTATGAAAAAAAATTTTTTTTACCACATGAAATGTTAATTTTAATACACACAAACTGAAAAAGGCATGCACAATTACATGACACTTACTTTTATTGAAGATCTGGTGATGATTGATGGGATGGGAGGAGGGGAGAGCATTATCTTCTTACTGTTTAGAAGGGGAATCCCCTTCCATTAGGACTTGAGGTAGCAAGTCCTTTTCTGGGGTTACTTCCCTTCTTTTTTTAATGCCACTAGGGCCAGCTTCAGAGTCACTGGACTTCTTTCGCACAAGATATCTGTCCATAGTGGCCTGTACCTCTCGTTCCTTTATGACTTGCCTAAAGTGTTTCACAACATTGTCAGTGTAATAATCACCAGCACGGCTTGCAATAGCTGTGTGAGGGTGATTTTCATCCATGAAGGTTTGCACTTCAAGCCACTTTGCACAGATTTCCTTTATCTTTGTAGTAGGCAACTTCTTCAATTTCTCTCTCCCCTCCTCTGAACCAGTTTCCCCAGGTCTGGCCTCTTGCTCTTAAAGTTGATCTATCAGCTCATCAGTGGTTAGTTTCTTCATTGTCCTCCTCCACCAACTCTTCCACATCCTCCCCACTAACCTCCAACCCCCAAGGACTTTTCCCAATGCCACAATGGTTTCCCCTCAACTGGCACAGGATTCTCAGGGTTAGCCTCAAACCCTTCAAAATCCCTTTTGTCTACACATTCTGGCCACAGTTTCTTCCAAGCAGAGTTCAAGGTCCTCTTAGTCACTTCCTCCCAAGCCTTACCTATAAGGTTTACACAATTGAGGATATTAAAGTGATCTCTCCAAAACTCTCTTAGAGTCAGTTGAGTTTCTGAGGTCATTACAAAGCACCTTTCAAACAGCTTTTGTGTACAGTTTCTTGAAGTTGGAAATAACCTGCTGGTCCATGGGCTGCAGGAGAGGAGTGGTATTAGGAGGCAAAAACTTCACCTTAATGAAGCTCATGTCCCCATAAAGTCGCTCTGCCACGTCTGTAGGATGACCAGGGGCATTGTCTAACACCAGGAGGCACTTAAGTTCTAATTTCTTTTCAGTTAGGTAATTTTTCACATTGGGGGCAAATGCATGGTGTAACCAGTTATAGAAAAATTCCCTAGTGACCCATGCCTTACTGTTTGCCCTCCACAGCACACACAAATTATCCTTGAGGACATTCTTTGCCTGAACGCTCTGGAGTTTCAGAGTGATACACTAATAAAGGCTTCACTTTGCAATCACCAGTAGCATTGGACACATCAACAAAGTAAGCCCGTCTTTCATAGGCTTATGTCCTGGGAGTGCCTTTTTCCTCCCGAGTAATGTAGGTCCTGCTTGGCATTTTCTTCCAGAACAGGCCTGTTTCATCACAATTAAAAAACTTTTTTCAGGTTTCAGTCCTTCAGTTTCTATGTACTCCTTGAATTCCTGCACATATTTTTCAGCCGCTTTGTGGTCCGAACTGGCAGCCTCACCATGCCTTATCACACTATGGATGCCACTACGCTTCTTAAATCTCTCAAACCAACCTTTGCTGGCCTTAAATTCACTCACATCATCACTAGTTGCAGGCATTTTTTTAATTAAATCCTCATGCAACTTCCTAGCCTTTTCACATATGATCGCTTGAGAGATGCTATCTCCTGCTAGCTGTTTTTCATTTATCCACACCAATAAGAGTCTCTCAACATCTTCCATCACTTGCGATCTTTGTTTCGAAAACCACAGTTGAACCTTTGGCAAGAACAGCTTCCTTGATTGTCTTTCTGGTGCCCACAATAGTAGCGATGGTTGATTGGGGGTTTCTTGTACAGCTTGACTAGGTCGGCTATACGCACTCCACTTTCATACTTATCAATTATCTCTTTCTTCATTTCTATAGTAATTCTTACCCTTTGAGGTGTAGGGTTGGCACTAGAAGCTTTCTTGGGGCCCATGGTCACTTATTTTCCAGAAACAGCACCGAAAATACTGTAATAATACGAAATATTCCGAGTGTATGCTTGGATGTTACCGCGGAGGCTGGCTGGTAAACAATGGGACGGGCGGCACATGTGAGGCTGGCTGAGGGCACATTGGACGCGTCTCGGACGAAAATCGGTGAGCGGGTTTTTAATCGGTATGCGCGGCAAAAATTTTGCGATAAAAGTAATCGGTATGCGGAAAAATCGCTATGTGATGCCATCGTTATGCGGGGGTCCACTGTATTGGCAGAAGGTGGGCTGGTGCAAGTATGAGTAGTGGGGGTGGGGGTTGAAGAGGGTTGGAATAGTTTTAAAAATACAGTATTAGAATGTGGGGCAGAAGTTTGTGGTTGTAGGAGAGTGGGTGCAGGAGGAAAGAGGAGTGATTGGTGGAATGATGATATAAAGGGTGTGATAAAAGAGAAAAAGTTAGCTTATGAGATGTTTTTACAAAGCAGAAGTGTTATAAAAAGAGTAAAAG